GGAGTTTGAGTCTTTTGTATGTATTTGCTAGAAAGTATGGCTGATAAGTTCGTAATTTCATACATTTGCATGCCTTCTTTCCTTAATGACTTTGCTTAGTTTCTCTTTATTTTGAGTCACTTACCTCTTTTTGTTTGTTTTGTAGGTTAAGACAACAAGAGATCACATTTGATGCAATCCATGCTTGTTAAGGGCTAATTGGGATAAGAGGAATATGAGCTTAAAGACAAAACCAATTTAAGCCACACTCCTTGTCAGTCTAGTTTCCTATGTCATCTTGCAGTCCTCATTTCAGCAACTGACACAGGTCGGATGAGGAGACATCCTTGATAGAAGTTGTTCCAATGGGTGTCTATTATAACATATCCAAATGTCAGCCCAATTGGATAAATCTGGAGCCCTCAGCATGTCAAAGACTGAACCAAGTTCACAAAAAAGTCATGTTGGCTGCCATCACATTTAATGTGGCTACATCCCTAGAGCCATGTGCTGTCACATTAGAGCAGCCACACACGGAAGACAAATCAACCAGGGAACTCAGAAAGATGAACAAAAGTCAAGCTTTCCACAAAGAAACACAGAATAGTCCACCAAAGCATGTATTTGGCAGCTGGAGCAGTTGGCATGTATGGACAGCTGGAGCAGTTGGGCAGTTGAGCAGTTGGGAGCAGCTAAGAGAGGTATGCTTCACCAGCCAAAAGGGAGGATGAAATTGCACTCTATAAATAGAGAGCTGCACACTCATTTAAGGGGGAGCAGACACACACATTCACTTCATCCATTACTCTCATACACACATTCAGATTCACCATAAAGAGAGAAGAGAGCTTGGAGCTGTCCTGGGAACTACATTGCTGCCAGCTAGTTCTTCTCTTCTCTTCTATCCTATCTATGTATCTCTTATTTTCTGTATTCATAGTTATGTTTAACTAATCCATTTAGTTAGGGCTTAGGATGAAGCCCTAGTCATGAATATTCAATGTTATGGATGATTTTATAGTAAATTGATTTCCTTGCTTTCATTATCAAGTTGTTAATCTCCAGTTTATTATGTGTTTGATGTATGTTTTCTTGGAGTAGCTAACTAGGATTTTATGCATTTAGCACAGGTTGGGAAGGGGTTTAGATTCACCAATTCTACTCTCCTTTCATAAGCAACACATGAATGGCCTAAGAATCATTCAAGGGGTTTAATAACCATAAGTTGACTAGGACAGATACCATGTTCTAGGACTTGTGTGATTATCATATTCTCATGGAGCTTAATGACTCTTGTATGCTTTATTCTAAGTAGATACAATGCTTAGGTTGCATATTAAAGATCACGTGTTGTGTAGATACCATGCACGATTACATGCCTTAGGAGAATCATGCATCCTACACCTAGATACCATAGGCTTGTATGCGATAATCTATTGTTGATGAAGCTTGAGTCAATTTCTATGCATTCATAACTTGGATAGGACAACTAGTGGTGGATTTCAAGGCTCTCACACCTCTCAATTATTGTTTCACAATCTGTTAATTGCAGCTAGTGTTCACTTTCAAGCACTTTCATTTCACTTTCTTCTTTTCGTTTCAACAACAAAACCCCCCATTTTGAGTGCATGTGTGGTGCTAGGATTTTGTCCTAGACCTTGAGTAATTAGCAAGAGGCATTGTTGAATTCGACCTTGCCTTTAGTTAGTTAGTCAGTTTCTTTGTTCTATGTTTTTCTAGCATTCTAAATAATTTAACTTGGAACCAAGTTACCATTCTCCGTGGGATCGACCCCGTATTTACATAAGCTATACTATAAACGGTTCGTGCACTTGCGAGAATTAAAGTTGCTGTTTTTAATAACTCATTTTAGTTGTTAAGAATAGGTCCAACAATGGCAGTTGCGCAACTCTTATATCTATGGTAAACTGCAAGCTTTTGTGGAGGAGGCTGAAAATCAGGTAAGGGACTTATATGCACAATATAAAGAATGCAATGTAAAGACAAAAGTTGGTCGGGTGCCTCGGTATCTTAGGTGGATTAAACCACATGTTGGACAATTGGTTTTGAATTGTGATGGTCCTATTAAGAGGAATAGGAGGCGAAGAGGCGGACGATTTGGTTCTTGATTGCCATGGTGAGTTTTGTTGTGGTTTTGCGGTTGTTGGCTCAAATGGTTCCGATATTTTGGGAATTGAGTTGGCGGCTATTTGTAGCGGGCTACTTTTGGCAACTTCTAAAGGTATGGTTTATTTGATTGTCGCTTCTAATTCACAAGAAGCTGTGAATATGATTAATAGCGCTAATGGGTGGTTGAGTAATGTGGGTAATCTAGTTGATGATATTCGAATGTTGCTGGTGCAGTTGGGTAATGCAAAGGTGGTTTATCAACCTTATGAAGGTAATAGTATGGCTCATGCTATGGCTCAATTTAGAATAAGGGAAGACAATCAATTTTTCTAGGAAGGGGTGGGTCTAATATGTATTCAACCTTTACTAGGAAAAGATAGACAAGGGGATTAGTTTTATTATGTATTGCAGTGATGTGCTACTGTTTGGGCCTAAAAACTGCGAACCCAGCCTATTTTATGCAGCCCACAAACATGAGCACAGCTTGGGCTTGATGTTTAAAAGAAGCTGAGGAGCAACCCAAAATAGAGAAAGCCCAGACTAATTTCTCAAAATTCCGCGAGCCCAACCTAGAATTTGTCAAGCCCATGATAAATAAATAGTCTTGGGCTTTGAAGAAAAGGAAAGCAGCCCAAAACAACATTAGAGGCCCATGTCTTTTGCAAAAGTGGTAGAGGTTCAAAAACTCAAAAATAATAAGTAAATAAACCAACAAAATTGCCAGTTAAATGGTAATTCATCCCCAAGCAGGTCGAAAACCTCTAAGAAATTGGATTAAGCTCAGCTTTTGAAGAATTCTCGCCACTTGATCTCAAAAGCAAATTAGTAGATCTTTTCTCACTAAAGAAATGTTTTCCTAGAAAAAGCCCCACGTGACTGCCTGACTTTGAAAAGTAAAAAATTCCAACTATCACAGAGGAGTTGATAAAGAGTTAATGAAGGCAGGTATAAAAGGAAGACGGCTCCAAATTTTTGCAGCCAAAAGATCAAAATCCCTTTTTATATATACAAAAAAAAAACTCTGCACCAAAATAGGTGGCCTTTCCAAGAGATAAGCAGACTACGTTCTCAAGAGATAAGTAGGGAGCGAAGGAGTTGTTCAACTGGAAAAGCAAACTGACCATCATGACAGATTGTGTTCTTTCTCTTTATAAGGAACAAACGGAGAACAAAGAGAGTTGGTCTTTCTTTCAGAAAAGCAAGGAAAAGACCTCCATGAAAGCTGATTATTGATGGTTCTTATCTGCCAAAACAATAACTTCCTTCTTTTATGGCTTTGAAAAGAGAAAAGATTTTGAAAAGATCTGCCGCCCATTATTCAAAGATTAAGAAAAACCCCACTCCAGCATTTCCTATAAAATAAGAGAGAGGGTGGACAGATGGAGGGCAGCCAAAAAAATCAATCAAGACAAAAACTCTCAAGGTAACAATTGACAAACTCAAAATGATCACTTGATCAAACACTGAAGCAACCAAAGCTCGTTGAGCCACAAGAAACAAGTCAACTATAACTCAAAATCTCTGATTTCAGTTCAGTTCAAAGAAATAGTTCTACAAAGCGAGATTTCTCTCGTTACAAATTTGGTTCAGCATAAGCCAAATCAAGCAGAGTTCGTTACATAGGTACATTACTTTGAGAGAAAAAATAGGTACATTATTTAGAAAAAAAAATATGTACATTATTAGAGAAAAAAAAAATAGGTACATTATTTTGAGAGAAAAAATAGGTAAATTATTTTGAGAGAAAAAATTAAAAATAGGTACATTACTTTGAGAGAAAAAATAGGTACATTATTTAGAAAAAAAAATATGTACATTATTAGAGAAAAAAAAAATAGGTACATTATTTTGAGAGAAAAAATTAAAAATAGGTACATTACTTTGAGAGAAAAAATAGGTACATTATTTAGAAAAAAAAAATAGGTACATTATTAGAGAAAAAAAATAGGTACATTATTTTGAGAGAAAAAATTAAAAATAGGTACATTACTTTGAGAGAAAAAATAGGTACATTATTTTGAGAGAAAAAAATTAAAAGTAGGTACATTACTTAGAAGAAAAAAATAAGTTCATTATACTAGATAAATTTTTTTACTAGGTATACATTATTAGAGAAAAAAAAATAGGTTCATTATACTAGGTAAATTGTTTAGGGGAAAAAATAGGTACATTATTTTGGGAGAAAAAATAGGCTCATTTAAAAAAAAAATTCATAAAACAAACAATAAAAAGATGATCAAATTATTTTTTTATAAAACAAGTAATAAAGAAAAAAAAAGTACAATATTTGGAGAAAAAATAGGTTCATTAAAAAAACAGTTTTAAAAACAAAACAATAAATAGATTATCAAATTATTTTTCAACATAATTAGAATGTACACTATTATTCATAAAATTAAAATAAAAAAGAATACTGGTCGTATAATTCATAAAAAGAAACAACATTAATTCCTAAATTTAATATTGAATTTAAATTATTAATACTTTAAATAGATTACTAGTCGTAATTCATAGAAGGAAAACACCATTAATTCAAAAATAGATTACTAGTCATAAAATAGATTACTAATACTGTAATGTGGAATTTAATATTTAATTTCAAATAAGTTTCTAAATTAGTTCCTACATCCATTACAACTATTTGGAGATATTTCCAAATTCAACGGGTGTCATTAGTACACCCCCTATAACACATTAACTTATAAATATGGGTAGTTTTGGAATCCGAAAAATACAATAAATTAGATTTTAAGTTATATTAGGTAACTTGCTTAGTTGGATCCTAGTCATTGGGTATTATTTGAAAAAATTGGGTATTTTACATAGAAAACTAAAGGAAAGGGTTGTAGGTAATTTAAAATGAATTTTATGGGTTTAAGCTCAATTTACTATTCAATAAATCTTGATTGGAAATTATGAAATAGATAAATCTGTTACATTTTGTCCCCAACATACATCAATTCCAGTGAATGAGATAGAATAATCATAGACAAAATATATGTGTGGAATGAAAGCATTAGATAAATCCGGCTTTGTTCATTCGCGGATAAATGCTGGATGCATCAATTGAGAAGAAATGTATTGCCTTATGCAACTTAAAATGGAATCTCAGAAATTGATGGCGCCTCAACACACCTCTTGATTACCAGACCATTGCCGGAAATTGGGTTCCTTTCGACAACTGAACCGGGGGCTCACATAAACCACTTTGGAACCTCTCATTGCCTGAAAATTTAATATCGAATATAGGGCGCTAAGAAAAAAGATTTAACCCAAAACAAAAAGAAAAAAAATACTCACACCCTGAAAACTACAACATATACCCCAGAGATGCACAACAAAATATTGCTAAATTTGAATTGAACACAAAACGCAGATATATGACCAGAAAATGCAAAGATATCATTCAAAATTTAATGGATTTACATACTTTGGCTCCTCATTAGGATCAATGTGCCTCCTCTTTTGGTGATCCGCTGGTCCCGTTAACAAGGTAAGCCATTGAGCTCCATGATCACCAATGTCGACGATGTTAGCACGATGATCATCATGAAGTGCCATGTAATATGATTGGCGAGGCCTCTTGCCAAGACTAGTCTTTGATCCTAAAGACAAGGAAAGCAATTCGCAGTCTTGGTGTTGATCATCGTAAATATCATCGTCCACTGCCATCGCATCAGGTAACAACAACTGCGTTGGCCCATGATCAACAACATCAGTCTCACTGACATCAGCAACCTGGTGGCCTAATAGGTGGACCCCGCAGGGAATTTTAACGGGTGCGAACTTGCCTAAAAAGTTAAATATAACTTGACACGTATTACCCTGCTTCGTCAGTGGTTCTTCAAACTTGTACGCGTTTCGCCTATCCAATAATGGAATAGACGCAAGGCACACATGACTTTCCAGTAATCCAATACGATCCCATCTCTCATATGATCCAATCCCTCTCTCGTTGACGAGTTTTCCATTGAGAAGAATCTTGGCACTACCCCGAGTAACAACACACAGAATCAATCTTAACGTCTCCCATTTTAAATTTGGAGGAATTTCAAAACTAACTGCACATCTAGAACAATAATGTGTAACTGTTGTTGCATCTTTACAACAGCTGAACCACTTTGGAACTTCATCGCCTGGAAGATTAATGTCGAAATGAGAATGCGGAGAAGAAACAGAAGCCTGATTCAGAAAAATATTTTCTGTGATGTCGTAGCCACGTAGTCTAACGCAATTGGCCAAACTCAGATTAAATTTGTAATTCACCGGTGAGATTTCTGGAATTTTCTCCAATGATGTGCAGTTATCCAGCAATACCCAAGCCAGTTTTGGAATTTTTTCCAATGATGTGCAGTTATCCAGCGATACTAATTCTATTCTTCGTGGGAGCACTTGTTCTGGAATTTCCAGAAGACTCTTGCAATCACTCAAGTAAAGATTTAGCAAGTTGACAAATTTGCTAAAGGATATCGGAAGACTGACGAAATTGTTTCCCGATAGATAAAGTTCTGTTACTGTGGACCAGCAATCAAGGAGCAGGAGGAAATTAATTTTTGATACATTGCATCCCATGAGACTAAATTGATATAGGTTGGGAAGCAATTCGGAGTTCACCGTAATTGTAAGGTTCTCACAATAATCAGCGTGTAATTTTTCAAGACCAGTAAGATATGCAATTGGTGAAGGCAATTCTCTTACGCCACTTCCTGATATGTCCAAAGTCCGTAGTGATTCCATCTCGACTTCTATTTCTGGGATACTCTCAAGCCTTTCACATCCAAATAGATTAAGTTGTTCCAACGATTTCAATCTAAGCGTTGTTCCAAACCTCATAAGCTTAAAGCATCCAGAAAGATCCAATTCAACAAGTTTATCAAGAAATCCAACAGAACCATCGACCTCAACCAAACGTGTGCACATGCTTAGATTCAAGTACTTTATGTTTGGGATTCCAGATAAGTCAGGAATTTTTTCTAAGAATTGACAACCCTTCAAATTCATAATTGTCAGATTTGGCGAATGCTGTGAGACAAGAACACAAAAACAGGAAATAATTAATTACACACTTCAAAAGACAAAACTTAGAAAATAATTTTTTGTTTTTTTCCTTCTGAAATTAACAACTCTATTTGAAATTATATATAATGGATGAAAATAATTACAAATGCATACCTTAAAGTTAAATCCATCCAATTGTTTGATATGACTGTGAGGCATATTGAACTCAACAAGATGATTTGCTTGAAAATTGGGTGGCAAAGATTGTAACTGACATCTATCCCAATCAATCAATCTTAAGGCGTTGGGCAGATAGTTAATGTGCCCATATAGAGATGCATTACGGTTTATGAAAATTTCAAGATTTACCATATTACGGAAGCATTCTGGATTTAAGGTTATCTCAGCTGGGTCTGGAAGCTTCACCATGATGAATTTAATATTTCTTGTTCCCTAAGATAGAAAAGCATTAACATTAAAAAACGAAGTCATTTTACAAACCAAAATGCAAGCACATTTTGTTAAGAAAATTATATAGGTTACATAAAGTATTCTTTATTGTCAAATTGAATAAAATAACATATGTGATACTTACTATACTTTCCGTTAGAACTTGTTCAACATCCTCGTAAAACCACAATCTACTACGCTTGCCAGGATCATTGGGGGATTCTTCGTGAACTATATCCTTGCCCAGTTTTTCTAGTAAGTCGTGCATCTGAATCCTACCATAGTCAATAGTTATCATTGACTTCTCAATGAGTACTTCAATACAATCTCGGGAGACCTTGTTCTTAGAATTGCTTACTATTTGTAGAACATAGTCCTTCTTTTCACCCTTGAAGAAACATGCGATGTCTAGAAAAAATTGTTGCATGGAATTTTCCAAGGCATCATAACTTTTTTGAAGTATTTTTTGAATACCTGTATATGGTTCTCCTTCATAACTATCTAAAATATCTTGCCAACGATCTTTGTCTTTATTACGAAGATGAGAACCTAAAAGTGTTAGAGCTAGTGGAATGCCTTGAGCATACACTAGTGCACGATGTGCGAGTTCCCAATAATCCTTTGGAGGTTTGTTGGTTCCGAAGGCACTGAAACTAAAAAGCTCAAGAGCTCGGTTGAAATATAACTTTTGGACCTCGTATATCAAATCAATTCCATGACATTTTAGCAATCCGCGATCTTGTGTAGTTGTAATGACTCTACTTCCCTCACCAAACCAACCAACACCAGCCAAATTGTCTAATTGCTTCAATTGATTCACATCATCAAGAATTAAGAGAATTTTTTTATGGCTCAACCGTTCTTTTATGACACCAATTCCTTCATCAACACTACGAATTTTCCATTCTCCGCCAAGAATTTTATGAAGAAGAGCCTCCTGTAGTTTGATTAAGTCTCCATCTGACATTGAATTTTCTCTAACATTTGACAAGAAACAACTTCCTTCAAATTTATGTGCAATTGCATTCCATATAGCTTTTGCAATTGTTGTCTTGCCTATTCCAGATGTCCCCCATATCCCAACCATGCGACGATCATTCCCACCAACATCTAAATGCCTTTCCACATCTTGTACACGAGATTGAATTCCAACTGGGTACTTTGCCACATTCCAATATGTGCGGCTCAGTACTTGGCTTAAGATTTGATCAACGATGTTGTTGATAAATGTAGTTTCATACCTGCCAGTTTAACCAAATTAGACACATTCAATGAATCAGATTTAAACAAATCCAACCACGCAAAAGAACACAACATACTCAAGTACGTAATAGTTCGTCTGACCAAAAAAGAAAAAAGATGTAATAGTTATTTAACGACAAACCAATGTTATGTATCATTCATATTTGTATGCCTTTTGAAGAGATTAATATACGGATTTTGAACTTTCTCCTTACAGCTATCGAAAATACAAAAGTACCAAAAGTACCCAAGAAAATAAATTTTCTCACTACAGTTGTATATTTTTATAAAAGAATACTTTTCTTTAAAAAAACCAAAATAAAAAAAAATTAAATATAAAAAAAAGGGGAAATTAAGTTAACTTGATAAAGATAGATAACCCTGAAATATGGAATCAAGACGTCGAAAATATATTTTAATAAGCATACAAATACACTAATAATATATCATTTAAAAAAATATAGCTCAACTTCCCGCTATTTGGTTTCACATTTTTTTGTCAAGACGTACGAAATTATCATATAATACTTAGCAAGCAACGTAAGATCCTACAAAGCAATCTAAAGCAAACATAAAAAAGTAGATATCATTGGTTTTCAAAGTCGATATGCAAAATGATTTCTTACAGAGAAATTATTTGTTAGCTAGCTGAGTTGATTTTGGCTTACCTTGTTCTACTTCAAATGATGAAGTTTTATGATAGCTCGTTTGGGATTGATTCTGGATAGGTCAATAATCACTTTTATGGAGAAATACATGGGAAGTGTTTCTCTCCAAAATCACTTAAAATTATTAATAATGATTATATAAAAAAGCACGTAGAAAGTGTACCCAATAAGTGACAGAATAACTCCCAAACGAATTTGGTAGATTTTCGTCATCACTGGCATAAGAGTTGGATTCACAAAATCGTATAACACATTACAAACATATCCTCGCTAGTTCAAGTTCCAATGATCAATTGCAATTGTGTCTATAATTTTAGCTGGAAAAATTAAAAGGAAATTCCAATGCAAAAGTACTCGTAATTTTATATTTATTCAATTTCCAATATTATGAGTTACATAATTACATTACTCTATTGAGAAAAGTGGAGGGCATCTTCATCAAAACATTTTTTATAGATAAATTTAAGTAACATTACTCTATTGAGAAAAGTGGTGACTCATACAATACTCTCTATTTCCAATATTCTGCAGTTGCTGTACCCACCCACGTGTGGCAGCACACAAGACTTGATGTTTTTCTTTTTCTAAATTTTTTAAATTATATATTGTTAGTGTATTTTATATTCTTATTAAAATATTTATTAAAAAAAAATTTAACAAAAAAGATCTTCTCCCTACAATTTAATATTTTTACAAAAGGATACTTTTCTTTAATAATGAGTAACAATTAAATGGGTAGCAAATAGTAATGAGAAAGAAGAGAGAAAAAAAATTAAACTTGAAAATGATAGAAACATACTCTCCCTCCTTGAAATGCCATCCAGACAAATTTGCTGCTTCCGTAAGAGCTCTCCTCCATTTGAGCACTTTCTCCTTGTCATCCTTGAATATGCGTTCATGGTGAACAAATGCATCACCATAACTACTTCTTTGGTGTCGTACATCTGAGGGATCCACCTTGTAAAAAAAGGGCAAAACTATTTGTTGCTTTGATTCTTTACATTGAAGGATCTTGACAAGTTCATCCAAGCACCACCTCGAAGATGCATAGTTTTCAGAGAATACAATGAGAGAAATTCTTGATTCTTCAATTGCTTTGACAAGGGCTGGCGATATTTCTTCTCCTCTTACAAGCTCTCCATCAATGAAGGTCCGGATTCCCTTACGGACTAAAGCCTCGTGCAAATGATCTGTAAAATTGGTGCGTGTATCCTCGCCTCTAAAACTCAAAAAGACATCATATGGAGAAGAAGAAGAAGAAGGAGAAGAAGAAGAGACTGGTTGAGTGGTCATAGATAGGAGGCAGATAATTAAAAGTATGGAGAAGCTCAAAGAATTGGGTATGGCAGTGGCGCTCTGGTTAGATTTATGAGGGCTTGACGAAGCAGTTTCCTACCACCTTCCATGTGGAGGAGCTTTCGTTTCAACTTCAAGTCATCAAACGCTAGATTTTCTTTTTCATACTGACGCGGTCTTTAATTTGTGTGAGAGGCACTAGCTTTCATTACCTTTTCTTTGCTGAATAAATTGCTTTAAGATAGTGCACATGGTCAAACGGCGATATTATTATTTGGTCAAAGATTTTGTTTTTAGGTCTGAAAATAAAAAATTGAAGGAATACTGAAACAAGTTTTATGGTTTGTTTTTTCTTAAACTACAATTTGTTGAATTAAAGGGTAGAAACCTTCAAGGCAACTTCTCGTCTTTTTTTCCTAGATGCGAAGGTACCTACTTTTTGGCTAAGGTTCACTATTATTAAGGCTAGTTTGTATCTCTTTTCTTTCAATACATGGTATCTTCGATGGAAAATGTATTCTCTCTCACAATGGGGCTCTATGTCCGCGACTTTATATTTGAGGCTCTAAATTTTTTATGTTGTAATTTAGTTTACGTGTTAATGTTCTTTTTTATTCTTTTATTGAGTTATTTAAACTAACACTCATTGAGTTTTTTGGCCATTTCACAAAACTCCCTGGAGTTTTAGAAATTACACCAACACCCCTCAATATTTTAAATTTTTTTTCACAAAACTCTTTTTTATTAATTTTTGGGTTAATTTCAATTTAGTACCATGAACTCTCACCCTTAAAGCATGTTTATCCTCGCACTCTCATTTTTAACAATCATGTATCCTAATCTTTTTAAATTTTTTGCAATCTATTTTCGACCTTCAAAATTTCCCTTAATTGTCTACGTGGCACGCATGGGTGTCACCTTTTCGCTGCTTTCAATGTCAATTGAAGGGTATTTTCGATCAATTGGTGTCTTCCGCAAGTACTTTTGTGAAAAAAAAAAAAAAAAACTATAACTTTTAGAACACATTTTTTTGCAAATTTGAGTGGGAAGGCACTAATTCTGCAAGTGCTTTTGTCAAAATTAACCCTTAATCTGTATTACTAAAATTGAGCCATTACGGTTTTGTAAGTGGCATAAAAATTCAAAGAAGACCACGAGGCAGACAAGTCTCTTCCAAGTGCAAGTCCTAGGGTGGGCCGTGTGGGTTTGGTATGTTTAAATTTTTTTTTTTCCGGATTTTTAGTCCGACCTTTTACTATTATTTGCAATTGATATAAACTGCTATATAAAAAATAATAATTACAGAGTTGCTTTCATGTCACCCATGATGAGAGGGTGCATGTGCTTCATTTCGACCTTCATATGTGTTTTTTGAGTTAAAACTCTTTCTTTTGTTTACCAGCCCTCACCATATATATATATATATATATATATATTAATATTATAAAAATTTGTGAAGTTAAAATTTTCTATATAGATATTGTAATCTCAATGGGGTCTTCTATGTCTCCCTATCCTTTTTTCCCATTGATTTGAATTGGATTTTTTTATGCGTCAACGCAGTTTCTGTCTTATGCTACGTACCTACACTACAGTGTGAATGTGTTGGAAGTAAATGGTAAGGAACATTCAAGGAAACTTCTCCTCTTGGACGGTGATACCTACTCGGACAGTTGGTGTCAATTGCCCCCCATTGACACTTTTCTTTTACTTACAAAACAGGCCAAATACAAACTAGACTGTCCTTTGCCGCACCATGTTTGTCTAAAGCATCTTCACATGGTAGATCACCCTGTGGAGTATTTTCATAAAATCAAAACCAAAAGGGCCATAAGTACGAAATCAAGTAGAAATTTTAGTGCCTTTGCTACAATATATGCTATAACAAGAAACACATTCAAAGCAAAGGCATATCAATGTCTTTAAGTAGGGCCCGATTACTGTGATGAAAGTCTTCTAAGTGCGTGTGAGAGCCATAATAGTAAAGGGTAAGGAAAAGAACCTTCAACGTTGTTTTGATAGTGATACTTCCTTCCTGACGCGCAAAAGCTTTCTTTCATCAGTTCATGATGATGCCTTTTTCTTTTTGACTAACATCTCTTCACAATTGTTTAGCCTTCATTGACTGAATTCACCTCTGTTGGAAGTTTGAATTAAATTCAAGAACCTTTGTCCCACATTGATAGAAAGTAGAAAGAGTGAGGTCCTTATAAGTGTGGAAGTGCCACACTTAGTAAATGGAAGTAGGCCAAGTGGAAGCAATTTGGGCTTCAAAATCGATTTGGGCTTTGAATATTATATAAAAATATATAATACTTAATAGTCAAAAAGATGGGCCTTGGGCCTTGGGGCACTTTCAGATTTAAAATTATTTTTTGGTTTCGAATTAATAATTTTTTATTAATTCGGATTAGTTTTATTAACTGTTTTCTAACAGTTGTGACTCTTCTGATAAGGTTTCAGAAGTTTATTTAAATCAAATAAGGCCTCATACGTTCAACACAGAAAAAGCATTCTACAAGCATTTCATATTGTCTGAGAGGAAAACAAACAACGTTCGCCAGATTCTAAGTCCGAGTGCTAGGGCTTAGAATACAGATAGTTGAATCCTGGGAGGCAGTCACCTGTAGAACTTCAAGCACCGAGAAGGGGTGAAATTACTGTCTTTAGGACATTGCATCAAATCTGCAAGCCTCTATCTCAAATTCAAGTCAGTTTTATTTATTGTTCATATACTGTATTCTGTGTTACAGATTGTTATAAATTCTGTTTATATAATTGTTTTAATCAGTCATTGATAATTGTTTTTTCTAACAATCTAAAGACAGTAAACATGAATTCACAATCATCAGTGACTGTGAACGGGGTGACTAAGAATCCTCATGACGAGAAGCCTGAGAAGTTCAAGGGAATTGACTTCAAGAGATGGCAACAGAAGATGCTGTTTTATCTCACAACCATGAATCTGGCACATGTTGTCAGAGAGGAGGCTCCCAAATCAGGAGAAAATCCAATGTCTAAGGAAACAATGATGACCATTGAGGCTTGGAAACAATCTGATTTCCTGTGCAGAAACTACATCCTTAACAGGCTTGATGATACTTTGTATGACATTTATTGAAAACAAAGTTAAAAAAAAAATAAATTTGGTTAACGAAAAGAACTCTGATGGTGGAGACAATCATGAGAGCATGGGGACAACCCGATTCAGCTTTCAATTTTGTCTTCAGGCGACTTTTGCTTTTACTTGACAACTTTTACTTGTGGTGAAATGTCGAGGCAACTTTTGCTTTTACTTTTACTCTGGCAACTTTTGCTTTAACTCTTGGGTGAATTGTCGGGGAATAAAGACTGGAGCGTCACGGGAAAGCAGGGCGGCTGCTTTACAAGATGCTTCAATCAATTCCACCAGGGCAACTATTGTGTCGGCAACTGGATGCTTAGTCAGACCCTAAGTCATAGGCATCATAGGGATCCTGACTGTCTTCATATCAAGACTTCTTGGGCTTATCTGGTTCTTGTAGAGGTTGGCAACTAGATGACGAGGGAGAATCATTGTCCTCATTATCATCCATTTGAGAGGCTTGGTTCAGCAACTAGAGGGCAATTTCTTTAATCTCAGACTTAGACTTTCCATCAACTGAGTAGGTGGCGAATGTAGTAGATCCAGTGGGAGAAACTGGATGTTGAGCAGGATGTGGGACTGGATCAACTGGCAGATCATTGTAGACATATCTGGCAATTCTGTCAACTTCAAATTTGTCCCACCATTTGACGGAGAATTGGCGGGCAAGAACTCTGGTATCAATGGTGACCCTGTAAGACCATTTGAGAATCCAGGGAACCTTATACCGGGCAAGAAAAAGCATTTGTTTAGGAAAAAATAGATCAACTCTGGCAAATTTGGCTTTTTTGGTAAAGTGGTGGATTAACTCAAGAACGGTAACTGGAAGGATTTCATCAACTGGACCGTGCTTTTCCCACCAATGAAGAAACCAGTAGGGAAAAGGGCTTTTAAACTTATTGTCAAAATTAATAAACCAAGAGTGACTAAAATCCTCGGATTGGTGGAGGAAAATAGAATACCAGGCTTCAATATAATCAGATAATTATATTGTAATTTTGACGACTGGAGGGTTTTCAACTGGTAGGGATGACTACTAAAAGACTCTTGGCTTATAACTCTATGAATATAGAGAGAATGATAAAGGATGATTTCAGGATGATCTCGATCCCTTATCGGCTTGATTTCAACTGATTGGGTCTCAAGCAATATATCTCTATAGTACTTGAGGGACTTATATGGACTGGGTGGCATATAATGGAAACCAGGAGGGAAATAGTGCTTAGCAATGGCAACTGGGTCAGAATTGATATCATAATTAGGCTCAATAATGAATAAATGGGAATTACTCTTAGGCAACTAAGGGGATGACTTCTTGAAAGCAACTGAAGGACCTGCAAAAGGGTCGTAACTGGAAACTAGTGTCGACTGGTAACTAGGACGAACTTGACCAACTGTTGAACCTAAAGCAGAAAACTTATTGGCAACTGAAATTGGTGAGGCAACTTGGATTGGGGTGCAACCAAGAAAAGGAACTATTTGCTTGGGAGACTCAGGCTTATTTTGACTCATGGAAGGGGGAAGGATTCTGAGCGACTGGGATAACTGGGATGATTTTGGCTGGGCAACTGAGTCAGACGACTTTTTGGCTGACTCTTTGTGCTTGTCTTTCTTGGGTGCCATTGTGCATCCTGTAAGAATTCTCTAGTAAGAAAATCAGGAATGGAATTCTCACTCCCTCTCAAGTATTCAATATCAAAATCAAATATGCTCAAAATACTTTGCCATCGTGCAAAAATCTGTTTAGATGCAATGTTCTGGACATCTTTTTCTAAAACATGTTTTGCAGATTTACAATCAACTCGTAACAAAAACTTTTGACTAAGCAAATCATCTTGAAATTTACTTATGCATAATACAATAGTTAATATTTCTTTTTTAATAGTACTGTAATTATATTGCGACTGAGTCCAAACACCAGAATGGAAACGAACAATCTGTTCTGGTGAATTTGGACAGGCTCTTTGCTTAAGAATGCCACCATAACCTATGTCAGAGGCATCAGTTTCAACTATTTTGAAGAAATCAACTGAAGGTATACCAAGACAGGGAAGTGTCTTGACATGG